ATCGTTTGCAACGGGGCAGGTGCATCCACTCTTTGTCTTTTCTCAAATTATAACCTGAATTCCTCATCACTTCTATTTTTCTCTTTCTAAATTTATCTCAATGATTTATACTTCTCGAATCATATCTTCAAACCCTAATGTTCTCCTTTACTGCTAATACTTCTACTATCTCCATCACTATGGGATTTGAACGGACAGTTTCGGCTCTGTGCTGATGCGGTATGGCAACCTGAACTTATGCACTCATGTACGAAATTCTACGTTGTAACCGACTGACTGACTGAATAATAATGCTAATAAACCCCTGTACACTTGATGAGTTATGGCAACATGAACTGATGTACTTACGTACAAAGTTCTACGTTGCATCTGACTGACTGACACTTGATAAAGATTACAATGCAAATGCGAGAAAATGTTCATACAAAATAACTATTGATACATTGAAAATTTATTGTAAAATTAAAAACAAAACAACTAATAAACTATGAATTCAACAACTTACTCTCAATTTGAATGCATTCATGACTAGATTTCAAGCCAATCCTACTACTACTGGTGGTGGTAGTAGCATTATCTTTTGATATAATTGAAATATTCTTGTTTACATCAACCAATAAACGATGATGAGTATTTGCTTCGGGAATCATGTGATTATCATCGCCTAGTTCGCTATTACGTTTTAAACGTTTTTGTTGCCATTGATTAAGTTCTTGTAGTAAAACTTTAGCTTGATCAAAAGGATTTAATTTTTGACAATTATATGATTGCATTGTTTTAATTTGTTTACTATTGGATAATCGAATTGAATTCAATGTACAAACTGATTGTCTATTATGAATTGATAAATTAGTAGTGACATTAGTTGATTTTAATAAAGATTTGTTGGTTCCATAAGTCGATGAGGATGGACAATTAACATTTAAAGATTTCTAAAAAAGAGACATATATAGATAGGCATAGGTTAAGTTAAAATAGGGGGGAAAATAAAAAGATGACATTGAAGTAATAGAAATTTATAAAAATTTTGAATCACCAAAGAAAATTAATTAAATAAGTGAATTAGAATGTTTATTAAAGATTCCCATTGTGAAAATTAGAATAACACATATATAAGCGAACAATATTATGGTTTTCGATTAGATCGTCATCATCAGGCTTTATACTCTAATATACATGGATATTTACATATGAAAATGTAAAACCAATCAAGGCAATTTGAGTGATAATCACAATGAACTGAAATAGATGACGTCACTACATATAATAAGTGGAAAAGTACAAGTGGATAGTAGGAAGACAGGTGTACTTGAGAAGACTGAGGCAGGCGCTGAAGATTGTATCATGTAAATTTACACTCTTAGTCAATTAAAAACGAAAACATTACATTGAACATTCTATTTGCACATCATCTTTGAGTCGTGATTCCCAACGCTCCATCCTTCTTCCATTCTTGCTGTTGCTTCCTTTACTTCCTGTTGGTAATCCATTTACTTCTTGCTTTTACTCCATTTGCTTTCCGTTTTTCTCTTCTGACCGTGAGACTTCTTTCACGTCCCTTCTTATACTACTTATATTGTTCGTATAAGTAGCAAACACCACATACTGATAGTAGTACTTACTCTTACTACTATCAGTATACACCTGTCTTCCTACTATCCACTTGTACTTTTCCACCTATTATATGTAGTGACGTAATCTCTTTTACATTTCATTGTGATTATTGACTCATAAATTGCCTTGATTGTTTTAACATTTTCATATGGAAATATTCATGTATATTAGAGTATAAAGCCTGATGACGACGATCTAATCGAAAACAGTAATATTGTTCGCTTGTATATGTGTTGTTTTAATTAGAAGATTAGCAATTTGAAAAAAAAATGATTTTTATTAAAATCAAGAAAAAATTTAGATAATGGCTAGGTGTAAAATCGCAATTTGAACTTTTGCAACTCTTACAGATTAATGGTTTTTTTTCCCAGAATTCTTTATTAATTAACACACAACTGTTTTCCAAGTTGTACTAACAGTGATTGTATACAATATTCGAAAACTGTATCTTCAAGTCCTGTAATGAATATTAACATATTCAAATGAAATGATTGAACTGTAATTCATTATTAGTACAAATTATCAAGTTAAATGAAATTATTCATATTAGATAACCTTTATCTAGTGTAGTGTAGTTTTGAAGTTAGGATATCACATTTTTGAATAAATTGATTTCTATAGATTAAAACTTAGTGTACAAAAATGTTGAAAAGTTTATTCTTAAAAGTGTAAGTTATTAACTGTAGGAAAATTTACTCTAATAATCTAATTTCATGTTAAGCTCGTCTCTAGGTATGCTTAAACTATTATGGCTTCAGCTTAGACGAATAACGAGAACGAAGAATTAACCAGAGTCCAGGTAGGTTGCTGTGATCCCTTGACCAAATTGAATCAGTAACAAGTCTTGATATAGTGTAGAAATTGTATTCTACAAACAACCAGCCAGCACACGATCAATCCAAGCACTTAAATTGCGTTTATTTATACTCTAATGAGACGTCCTTAAGACAGTCACAAAAATAGCACACTAAAATGACGCGGTAACCAATCACAGCCAAGGATTTTCCTGGTGGGAAATGTGATCTCAGGGTCAACTGATCGGTCCATGCAGTAAATCCAAAGTAAAGATATTTATCAAGCGAGTTCTGGGAATTCTTGGTTGTGGAGAGAAGAGAGGTATGTGTGGGTGTAGGAAGGATTTGATTTCGACCAATTTGGTCTCATGCGCTGTTACGGGTATGAGGGCGGTTATCACTTCCCGGCTGCCCACAACGTGGAAGGTTGTTTCTTGAGGAATCTTAAAAGGAAGATAGATTAGTGTTGGTCTTGGAGACCTGGATGCGTGACCGCAGAGTTCGACGGACAACTGCTTGAGACCGGTCACGTACGGCCTTTTCATGAAAGGTTTTTTGAATATTAGCTCCGCTCTTAAAGGCCCTTAGTGGGCACCCTTACCGAAGGAGACGGAAATCCGTGAATTAGGGGAGGTGTGACATTTTTAGGGCCGACCTTTTCTAACCCTTCCTTCCTTGTGAGAAGGCAGCATCGCTGCAGATGCTGGTTGTCCGAGGGAAACACTTTACTGCTGTCACACCCCTCTGCAGTCAGCAGTACGACTTTGCCCTCAGACCTTGAGTAGCTGCTTTTAGTCTCATGGTTCTCCAATCGACCTGCCTGGCATGGTAGAACCTTCAGGAACATATGTTCCAGCCAGTATAGCTCGGTCGGGTCATCACGATAGGCAAGCCCGACCACCACGTCAAGGTAGCAGCTACGGTCGGAGAGTTCTGGGGATCTAACATCCCAAACATTTTACAAGTACAAAAAAATGGTATGAAGGAAAACAAAAGTCCTTAAGAAAATATTAGAGTAATCTTAGTTAAAAATTTACTAGAATAATAAGTTTTTGAATCGCAATTGAAACTGTCAATAATGTTCATTGAGTTTTATATAACATTTTGAGTTATTTCTATTTACTTAACTAGGTAATTCTAATTCTCCACAACATCAAGATACTTCCATCCATTGATTTGATTCATAGGTGCAGCATAAATTAATCTGAAGATCAAAAGATTTGTGATAATATGATCATGTTATATTGTAGGTAGTTTTCGTGGAGTTTTGCACTTCAGACCTACTAATCTGGAAACTAGTTCATCCGTGAGGATTTATATATCGTGTCATTTAGATTTAAAATCTGGGATGATGTCAGTCAGGCATTCAGGATACTAATGACTACATAAATGGGACAAGGAAATCTACAACTCATTGATCACTGAGTAGTGACGCTTAAGATTGATTGTGTGAAGCTGAATAATTATGCAGCATCGAATCCACCAAGGAGCATCAGTCACTTGAAGATTATTGGTACGTCAAGCTGATGAGTACCAAACAGAATGAAATCTATGTCCAGAATCTCTCATAATTTACATTCAACCACCACCTTTCGTCTCAATATAATCTACACGATGTCGAGTCACCGGCAACTTGATCAGACAGTACTAACAACAGTCTAGACAAACATGTCCCTTGTTATTACTGTGGTCAATCCATTTACAAATAAAAAGGTAGCTTACATAGAATGGATAGATTGTGGCTTATAGTGGCATCCAGGAAGCGAATTTTCGACTATTTAACACTCAAAAGTCAGACAGAACGCGTATCGCGGATCCACACAAGAAGAAACTAAGATTCAGTCTACAATATCGACAATCTAAACCCTTTCTAATAATAATGATACATATATGATCATAAATTACCTTTAAATATAGCTAATTCATCAACCAAATATAATGCAAATCCTAAATACAAAGCTCATATACTTTCGGGAGCTTCTACTGATGTAAATCGGTTGAGCATAAACCAAAAGAGTGAATGTGATAACAGCAAGCTGAATAATACAGGAATAGGAGAAAAGTTTACAGAAGAACCGTAGATTTCCTGATTTCCTATGAAACATTCAATTTTCAACTTTTTTCAGCTAGATGATGAGCAAGTGTTGAAAATTTGTCCTACTCATCGTACTCACTAATGCATCAAGAATATACACCTGCTACAATTAAGTTAATCGATCTTTTCAATTAATTTTAATCTGAATTAAAGTTTGTTCATTTTTTAAATAGAGTGTAAATCTCAAATGAACAATAACAACATGTATTGTAAGCATTTGGCAACCTTTTGTTTGAATTGACAGTAATCTGCAAAAACCAGAATTAAGTTTAAGTTAGAGTAAAAAGACTTGAAACACACTTTTTGAAAAATAAAATACAACTTACACTTTTAATAGATCCTTTTCCAATTGTATTCATACTCTGAATAATTCCACTGCGATTAGTTTGTCTTGACGGCGGAGTACAACATAAAAATGAATTTGATTGTTTTGTATTTAAAGCTTTGACTTTAACGTTATTAGTTTTAATGCAAATAGATTGATGATTATTACTGGTACAATCTTTATTTATTTTATGCTTATTAATGAAATATTTATTTTGATTAATTGATGGTTTTCGAGTTATTATTTTATTGCTAGTTAAACTAACAGTTGGTAGACAACTTTGGTCTAAGTCAACATTATTAGATGGCGGTGATGTATTGGAAAATTGATTTTTAAATCCACTCACTGTGAAAAAAAAAAACAGAACAAAATATTAGAAAAAAAAATTGAATCAATCTGGTATTATTTAATGAGTTCGTCAGTTATACGCCATAAAACACAATATGGAATCTATACGTGTCTGTTCAAGTTGATATACGCTAGAGCAATATAGAAAGTATCAAAGACTGTTATCCTCGTCGATTGATATACTAGAAACTATTACAAGTTCACCTAAGTCGGTAAACGAGAGCGCAGATAAATGGCGCATTGATACGATAGGCTATTCTGATTCGATTGGCCCCGACCCGAGTAACTATATCAAGAAGTCTTGATAAGGCGTAGAAAGTGTATTTATTCTACAAGCACCAAGAAAATACGAGTTCGACAAGCTAACAAAATCGAGTTTATTTATATGTGATAGAAACGTCCTTGGGAGAGCTACAAAAATAGCGTACTAAAATAATGCATCAACCAATAACAGCCAAGCATTCTCCGGGTGGGAAATGTAATCTCAAGGTCAACTGATCAGCCCATGCTCGAAAACATAAAATCCAGAATTAGGACCTTTATCAAGTAAGTTCTAGAGATCTAAGGTCCCCAACAAAAACAAATGCCAGAGAAGTAGAAATATTAACAATTCCTTTAGTGACAGTAGAAAATATTAGGCAAAAACCACATGATTCGAGAAGAATAATTTGATGAAATAAAAAGATTTGAAATAATAATTAATAATTTTCAAAACTGAGGATCTAAGGAAAGACAAAAAGTAAATAACTCTACGCC